GTGAGATGCGGTCTGGTGTGATGTAGGTTTCAGAAAAACATTTTCTTTATCGTGCCAACGTTTCGATCTTTATTGAGATCATCTTCAGGGCCTGGGATTTACAAACATAGTTTACATGTAACAATTACATTTTGGATGTGGAAAAGTGAATTTATACAATGCAAAATATATTTTTTATATATTCACTCAAAGTGTTTGTCTTCTGGGTAATTGTGCCATTCTTGCGTGTCGTGTCGAGAGTGCCAGTGAGATTTTTTCCAAAATTAAAGATACCACACCAATAACAAATAAATCTGACGTAATCTACAAGATCAACTGTTTAAACTTTCCAGCAACTTACATCGGTCTTACATCCCAATATCTGGACAAGAGAATAAAGTAACATATCAAGATTGCAAAAAACCTAAACAAAATATATATAAATTTGGGAAATAATAATTCTCTCCTCTAATGTTGTCAAACGGTCAATAACAATTTTATGAATAGTTTTATTAAAATCTTTTGAGACTGACTCAAACTTTTTCAAATTGCCTTCCTGAGGATTCTTCCATTAAGTTATTTGTTTTCGGAATCCCACCAGCTTATCTGTTGAGTTTAATATATTTTCTTTCGGCCCTTGCATACTTAAATTTATGTTATTAAAAAAAAAAGAAAAATGTCTGATAAGTAAGCCAACTTAGCACACTATATTATATAATATTATATAAATTATATCGTATAAATTCACTTTTCCACATCCAAAATGTAATTGTTATATGTAAACAATGTTTGTAAATCCCAGGCCCTATATATTTATAATTTATGAAATTTACGTTGTAAAAAGTAAAAAGGATCGCAGTTAAAAAAAAAATCAGACTGCAACTTCCTTTGAACGATTTTCAAATCGACTATCAAAGTAGTCATAATTCGTCCATCAAAGTGGAAAAAATTATGGCGCAGCCAGAAAAATCTAATTACACTTTTCATAAGTGTCGACTCTTTTTTTTTAGTATTTAGGTGTATAGAAAATAAAATATATATAGAAAATCAGTAAAGGATATATCGAATAATTCGCTAGTTTTCGTGGTCCGCTTGATCAATTAATATCTTTCAATTAATTAAGGTTTTTAGTTGAAAAAGAAGTCAGTGTCACGATCGAGATTCGAACCCACGACCTTCGGCTATAGCTCAAGTGCTCAAGTGGTAGAGCAGCGGCGTTTTAAGCCGAAGGTTGTAGGTTCGAATCCCGCTCGTGACACTGACTTTTTATCTCAACTAAAAACCTTAATTAATTGAAAGATATCGAATAATATTTGTAAATATAAAAGGTCCTTACTCAAAACCGTAAAATTTGAATTCAAAATCGTTCACAAAAATCAATCCTGACGGGTTTAAATCCGTTTTAAATAAATCGACTGTACAAATTGGACATAAGCTTAAATTTACCACTGGAGAGGCTATTCTTTGATCTGACATTTACAACAGGGACTTTAGTAAATAAGGAGATAATCCGTTAAGCCGGAACAAATAAGAACAATAAATCCATAAATAAACGACACGACTTATTCTAAATACGATTAGCGTTCCGAATTTCGGAAAATCTTTGCAATTTGAAGTCTTAAAACCTAAACATGTCCGGTTTGCTTACGTCGACAAGATCAAAAGAACGGGGCTTCGTTCGCCTCGACCTTGCCCGTTCCTCGACGAGCGTT